CAGGGGTCTGTCCAGGCCGAATTTACTACCGTTTAGCGGTACCTTCACAAATTCAATTTTAGGTAAAACGGTAGTTTCACAAATTCAACTTTAGGAAAAACGGTATTTTCACAAAATACTTTTTCTTAAAATTTTATTTTTGTCTCCCTTAAGAAACGATAAATCTATATTTTTACCATGTTTTAGTGTTGACTTTTTAATATAATTTTTAATTTTTCACAAATTATGTCAAAATTTTCACAAAATAGGTACTTTTAAGAAAAACCTAGACAGACCCCTGATATATATATATATATATATATATATATACGGATTTGACTGAATTGGATTTACACATGATAAAAATATAAATTAACAAAGAAGTTTTTAGTAAATTTATTAATAATAACATACAATTAACTCAATGATTTATATAGAACTTAATTACATTAGTTGGGTAGTTAATTACATTAGTTTTTATCAAATTTTGAGAGAGCTTAAAAGTCTTGAAAGTAATAATAAACAGCACACTTATATTCTGTTAACATACCTAAAGGTAAAGAGAATCTATATAATATCTTTAAACAAAAATTATTGAGATCATTAAGAAAGTATTTTAGGATTTTATTAATTGATATATGGGTAATGGATTTAAATTTTGTGCCTTTTATCATAAAATTCCTAAGTTTTCTATAACGTTTAAATTACCAGTAATAATATGTTTATGATGTTAATCAACAAATTCAAAATATTTCACTTCTTCACAGTGACATTCATCATCAGATACATTAATTTACCTAAATTTTTAGTAATATCATTATAATTAGAAATAGTTCTGCCAAGAGATTTATTATACTTAAAGCTTTTAATTATGTTGAAATCTCTTAATGGAAACAAGTTTTTTAAATTTTCAGAAATATTATGAAATTTAATCTTATTTAAAATAGGGTTTTAAAAGTTAATAATGAAATATAAGTTATCTAAATTTTTCTTTCTATTTGGTGATATTTTACTTATTTTAGCTTTTACAAGATTGAAACAAATAATTTTGAAGTGTTAATTAATAAAAGAAAAGCTAATATTAAGATCTTGAAACTTATGTAGGTACATCATTATTCTTAAGGCGGAAAACAAAATATTTCATGGTTTTAATATTATAATGTTTATTAAAATCTTTTTCCATATTAGAAATAAAATTTACATTTAATTTGACATTATTAAGAGTTTTTATTATTTACCTCTACTTTGATTTCATTTGTACGCAAATCTTTAATGTGAAAAAGCTAATAAGCAGAGAAGTTATTAAAGTTAACCTAATCTGTGTATGTTGGAAGTTATCGTTTAGCCCGCATGGCAAAATTGTTTAGTATAAAAGCATGTAATGCTATTTTCATACAGTAAATCGATTCTAATTAAGTAATAATAAAAATCATTATTTTGCCATAAAATACATATGTATGCAAGATTGAAACATCAGAGTGTAGTTGCAAGAAAAAGAATAGAAGCAAAGTAAGATGTAGCAAAACCACCAACCAGACAGAGGGAACCCATCTCACCTTTTTTTCTTCGCTCTGTAAAATTAACTATGCTTATTTTAATTATGTATATAATAACATGAAATGAACTTTCTTGTGAGATTTGAAGATGATATCCCTTTAGCACAAAATTGCTATGATATTAGAATGATGCTGTACTTACGTACATATTAGCTGATTATGGCAATTACTATAATTTAAATGTTAAGTTTTTTAACTGGTTTTTAATATTAGTGGAATTCGAAAATGCTAAAATATATATTAAAAAAGTGCATCTAAATTATCTTTAAAATATTTTTTAATGGGGATAATATTGAATGCATACTAATTTCAGAAATATATATATTAATCTTAGTAGGAAAGAGTTAAATTAGATAAAGAGTTACATTCAAATTAAGTAAAATTTGAGAATTGAAGACTTTTAACCGAGCGAGTGGGTACTTATCAGGTTCAGCTACAACCATTTGGATTAAAACCTGAGGATCTGTATTACAAGAACAAAAAAACTTATTTACCTAAATAAATTCAGTCCATAAACATAGAAAACTTATATATTACCAAATATTTATTTACACTAGAAATTTAGAAATGCTTCGTCTGTTTATTTCTGCCCAAGCCGTGGATCAAAAAACTAAAGTTAAGCAACAAATAAAATTATAAAGCAGAATGTAGTTAGATGGCGCTGTCAGCGCTAGATGAATATATGCACCAGATTTTTCTAAAAATGGATACGATTTTTTTTTAATAGCTGTAGTATAAATTGCAGCCAAATTAACTAGTGCAATTTTATCCCCCTTCCCTCTCCTCCTCTTTTCAGTTGTATGGAAATGTATTATATTTTCCCTTTCATACCATTTTTCGTATTTAATTGTCAAAAATATTTTTTAAAATTTCTATGACGCTTTCCTTCTTAATGCAATTTCGAGTTCATCATAGTTTCCTAACTTAAAAGTTTTTAATCTATTTCAAAATCACGATAGAAGTACTTAATTTCATTATATCTCTTTGAATTAAATTTTGTTTTAAAAAAATCAGTGGTGATTAGGATTTAAATTAGTACTTGTCGATACTTTAAAATTTCAGGGAAATTGTCTCGAGCAATAACATTTAAAAATAACGTGGATCATTTTCAAACAATGTTTAAAAATTAGGATCACCTGAAGATATGCCATTGAAATTTTCATCCTCCGCAGAAGAGATTACGTGGTTCTCCAACTTTGGTAAAGAGCGACCTACACGCGAAGTCGAATACTTTACAATTGAGCAGTTTATGATACCACACTCTCGGTCTCTTCACTGGCTGATTAAAGTGGTCACTCACACGCACACTGACCGCGACCAATGATGATTGACTTCAATGATCTACTGGGACCCACGTTTTAGCGATCAGTTCACTGTGGGACCTATCTCGATGGGATATACTGTAAAACTTAGACTCACTTTGCAACCTTAATCGCGTTTTTAATAAATTAACATTATTGCGTTTTTGATCTTTGATAGATTGCAAGAGCTACCTGTTTATGTAATGTAGCAGGACTTGAGCCAAATGTTATAAAATAAGCTAAGAAGAGTAAATTAAAGCAATATTTGGTTTTAACATGACAATAGCTTTAACAGGGGTGATTGTGAGCTGGGGTGATGGTCAAAATTCCGGAAAATTTCTTGAGTTAAAAAAAAAACAGTTTAAATTGAAAAAAATTTAAACAAGGTTTTTTTCCTTTTTCTCAAGATTTCTTAGTTTACTTAAAATATATTTAAAATTTTACATATACCTATACTATTTACTCATACCTATTATGACCTGGAGAAGTAATTAAAATTTACAAATATGTCTTTCTTGAGTTTATGATTATAATAACTATTTACTGATAAAAAATTAATATTAATCATGAGTATAAGCTTATAAAGTATCTGGCTCTCCCTTACAAACAAATAAAATAAACTGTGTTTTTAAGTTCCACCTTTGAAAATTTGGTTTCCGGAAACTTCTGGGATCAATGATTTTTTTAAACATCTGGACCTTCGATCTCCGGAAACTTCCGGATCACTGTTAGCGAAAAATCAGGATTTTTTCCGGAGCCCAATCAGCCCTGCTTTAAAGAAACAAGAGTGAAGTAAAACGTCCCCTATAAACCTTCAGTTGTTTAAGGGGAGGAGAGAAGAAAGAAAAGGAGAAGAGGAGAAAGAAAAAAACATTCCACTTCTATTATCTCTCAAATGTTCATTAACAAAATCGGTCTGATATAACTTTTCAAGGATTTTTCTAATTTTGCTTTATGTCATTAAAAAATACTTGGTTTAAAACTGAAATTCTTTAAAAATTTGTTAAACATACAATAAAAAAATTTTCACTGTTATCAAATATTATAAATAGTTAAAAAAAATTATATTTTGTCTGAAATTTAGATAAACACATTTCATAATTCTTTGGAAATATTTTTTGATTTGCTTGAAAAGTGCTCGAGATGTGTAATATAACATTAACATATACAATTAACACAAAATAACATTAAGTAGAGGGATTAAAATTTTAGACCATTCACTTGGTCAATCTATCAGGATCATAACTTTTCCAAATTGCAACAGCCCTCCTTATTTTGATACTCAAGGTTAAAATCTGTCAGAAAAAAAGGTTATTTTATCAGAACAAGAACGTTTTTGTGTCCTTGTTCATAATTTAATTAATAGCATATTTAAGGTCAAGACTTAAAACGATTATGATTGGAACGTAGTATGCAAAAATGATCATTGGAATAAAAGTTAACCAGATTAATACTTTCAGTTCAATATACCAGTTATTATTATGAATTAAATGAATGAACGTTTTGTTCATAAAACATACATGATTATTATAAAGAAAAATGACGAGTTAACTCAATTTAAATATACTAAACAAGATCAAATAACAGGGTAATAGAGTAAAATAAAGTTTTAAAATATACTGAAATATAATGTATGAGTAAAAACACAGACTACAAGAAAATACCAAGACAAAGAAAACACTTCATAGATTTAATAGTTGAAACTACCAAGTATTTGTTTGCACAAATTTACACATCATTGAACATTAAAACTACATTTAATAGATTTGAAAACTAAATTTAAAAAACTGTAAATTGAGAGTAAATAAACTGAATTATACAACAACGGCGCTTCTATAGCTAAAACAATTTTTGCAACAAAAAATTTTATCGGTATAAAATATTAAGTAAACAGTGTATAACATATAATATATAAGTAAAAAACCGAAATTAAATGAGGTCCTTCAAATAAAATAAATGCACTTAACAAAAAATCAGCAAGGTTAGTAAAAAAAAAATTTTTTTTTTCAAACTTAGCCTTAAAAAAATAAAGAAAAGCTTCAGTGCTGTACGTTAGCACAAAACAAAGTGAATTTTTTAAGCATGTAATTTTTTTTTCTTGTTTCATCACGAACATTTATCAAAAAAACAAAAAATATGTACTTTCCTGTATTCTTCATATATTCTGGATCATTTTCAGCTTTATATTATAAACTTATGACAAATTCATATTTGTTATGAACTCATAACTTCATTCATTCATTAACCTTCAGTCAAGTTTTGTTCATTAACAAAGTAAAGAAATAAAAATAAAAAATAAGTACTCATGAGATTTGGCAACATTACATAAAATAAACATACAAAACTTAGAAGAAAGTTTAAAATGGCTTAATCAGTTTATGTAAAAAAAAGAAATATCACATTATTTAATCCAAGGTAAGAAAAAAAAATTGTGTCTACACCTAAACTAACACATATCACAATAAATCAAAATATTATAATTACAAAGAAAATTAATATTAATTACCATCATGATCAACTTCCTTTATTTTAACTCACAAACTTTTGTAATAAATTTCAGAATGCAATTATTATAAATTTCAGTAATAAAACAGCTACTAACTAAACTAACTCAGTGGCGCGACAGCCCATTAGGAGGGCCAAGGCCGACTGTGCCCATCTCAGTTTTCTTGACCTTGGGCTCTGGGGTGCAGGAGCATATGTTCCGGTCAGGTGGTCAGCCGAACGCGGAACCCCCAGTGTTAGTTCCCAAGCATGCTTGGTACTCATTTTATCGACCCACTGAAGGGATGAAAGGCTGAGTCGGCCTTGCCCGGCCCAAGGATCGAACCAAGGACCTGTGGCACGACAGCGCAAAGCGCTACCGCTCAGCCACCGGGCGTCAAAACAGCTACTGTGAAACTTAATAATGTAAAGCCTCTGACCAGTGAAATTAACTGTATCAAATAACTTGTTCAATTACTTCAATTGGTGAAACAATTCATGATCATAATTTGTTTTTGAATTTATCATAATCATAATTTGTTTTTGAATTATAAAATTTTATTTAATAGTTCAAAAACTAAGAATATAGCATGCTGAATAAAGAATTAACATTTTCAAAATAATTTGTAACAAAGAAGTAATAGCACACCACTACTCAGTTTATAAAAATAATATAAAAATAAGTACAAAGAAAATTAAAGGAATGTTTAGAATATGGTCGGTGGAATGGTCTACTTTTATGATGATAATTATAAATATAATTAAAGTATAAATATAATTAAAGTAGTTCTACATTTATTAGTCACAAAAAGTGTATTTAAGTATTTATTTTCAAAGTTGAACCCTGACGCACCTCTCAGGCTATCAGGGGATGAGGGGGATCATGTTTGGTATCATAAGAAAGGTTTCTCAAAATATTAAACACTTCTAATTCTATTTTTATGGTCTGACATGTATTTCAACAAACATCTTCATTTTAAACCCAGTTTTCATTCTGAAATCACAAACAATCAATGAATCGAAATTTAAGATCTGTAGAAAAAATTTAGGTACTTTTTTGTGATAAATTGGGGCTCTTAACTGAAATTTTGAAGTTAGCTCGATTGAGGTTGGTATCGAGTTTCATATAGCTAGATACGTCTTTTCAATGAGTTTTTAGTTTTTTATATGCATATTTTTTTAGACACTAGAACTTTTATTTACTTTTGAAACATCCTGTATTAATAAACAGAAGACTAATATTAATTAGAAATTTTGTTTTGTATAAACTGAATTTTTTTTTAAAAAATATGAATGCATAAAATAAGATTGAAAAAAATACTAAAAATAAAAAATATTTTTTTCTGCCAGCATAATTTTGTAAACAATGAAAAAAAATCAAAGATCACATTATACTCCAAACAAAAATATTTAAATAGACTTCGTATATTCACGATTTTCTGAGAAAAAGAAGTAGGTCATTATTTTCTGACATATTGTTGTTATTCTTGACAAAGAAAGAATATTATTGTAACATTTCATAAACATATTAGATAAAAGTAAACAGAAACTGTTAAAACTTCAGTATAGATACACCAGCAAGTTGTTTAGTATCTCATTAGAAAAAATTTTATTTAAAAGAAAATTTAAAATATTTGAATTTTTGTAATGATTATATTATGCATAATATATTAATTTTTCATCATTTCAATGATATTCAATTAGTAACATTTTTAATAAAACTCTTAAGTTTTTAATACCGAATCTGTGCACTCCCAAAATAACTAAATGGGAATTTTCATGCACAAACAATTAAAAATTTAATGATTTTATTCAATAGGAAACTATATAATTTTCAAACATTAATTTATAACATTTTCTTGCAACACATGATATGCAAATATGGTATATTTCTTATTCATTATATTTTCCTATCACAGAATTCACAATTTGTTGTATTTATAAAGATGCAAAGTCAATAATAAAATTGCTTTAAAAATATACCAAAAAATTTGATTCTTCTTAAAAATCTCAGATCTCAGGGTATAACAATTTTATTTGAACCAGGTATCCACAAAACCTTGTGGGTCGGGTAGATACTAGATTCATAAAGTTTTATATGGCCTTAATTTGAAAATTTTCGAACGATATTTTAATAAAAGAAAAAGAAAGTAGCTAAGATCAACTACAAATATGAAGTTTTATTACTTTCATTAAATTGAGGATTTTTAGTTCACTAAAAAGTGTTATAGTCTCAAAATTTTTCAACTTCCATGTTATTTTGGTTAAAAAAAAAAATTTTAAAAATTCTAAAATCTTGTTTTTTCAATAATAATATATAAAGAAAATATCAACAAAGAAAAGTAATAATAAAAAGAAAATGATTAAATTTTGATTCTCATGTAAAAGTTTAAGCAAAGACATACAATTTTATATTTAATGCATTAAGTGAAACAATGCTAATATTTATAAATTGTAAAAAAAAGAAATTTTATAACATTAAATTATAATATATTTGTTTTGTTATTAAAATTTAATGTAAGCCCGAAAAAAAATGAAACTAATTATAACATTGTATTAAAGGAATAAAACAGAAGAGAACAAATAATAAAACAAGAATAAAACAAATCAATTATACAATGAATATCTATAAAAATGGATTAAAAAAATGAAAACTTAAAAAATATTTGTACTACAGATTAAAAGTACATACGTATTATATTCTTTAAAAGTAATCATTAAAATGGGAATTTATAATAAATTTTAAAGATCATTACTCATTATAAAAATTCTTCACTTTAATTTTTTTTAAACTAAAATAAATTTTCCTCAATTTTTTTGACATTCATTCAAATAGTAAAAAAGGTAGGAATATACAGTAATAAATTTATCATAATTGACAAAATTAAATTATCAAACATATCATTAATTTTCAGCTATTTCAATACATAAAATTGAAGAAGCATTTTTTTTTTTTTTTAAATAATAAATTGTATAAAATTTAACAATACAAAATACATGTGATACAAGTTACTTACTTTATAGGTAATTGATAAAAGCAATATATATGGTATGAGCAATATTATGAATTGTTAATTCAGTTTTATGAAGAAAAAATTTTTATTCAGTTTTAAAATTTAAACCAAGTTCTTTAAAAACAGTTATCAATACTTTAATTTATAAATAATATTATAGCATCTACATCACTTCATTTTGTATCTTAAAAAGAGATACAAAATTTCTTTAAAAATATTTGTAAAAAATTTTTATTTTAGTTTTTTTAATCAAAAGAAAAATATGAGAAATTTATTTTAAAACATGTTTAAAATAATCAGCTCAAAAAAGACATGTGGCAGTAAAAGAATACATGTTAAATTGACTTAGTCTAAATTATTTGTTAAAAGCTAAATTTTTTAATTGCTATTGTGATTAAATACATTTGCTTTTTGCTCAAGATTTCATTTTATAAAGCATCCTTTTAGTTTTCTAAGCTAAAATGCTTCTCATCATGTTATTAACAATAAAAAATAAGAAAAACAGTGCATAGAAGAAAAATTCCATGCAATCAAGCAAAGAAACGTGTCTCAAAAGATGTAAATACTTCAGCTAAATATTAAAAAACACTTGCAATGTATTTAGTCAAACTCTAAAAATACTTATTAAAAAATTTGACAAAAAACATTTACATTAATCACAATTTGCAACAATGTCAACAGCTTCTAGAAGTACTTTTACGAGGAAACTTTTTAATAAAGCATTCAACTGAATTATGGTGGTTTAAACAATTGCTATGATTTTAAGAAAGTAATACCCACATTATCTATAATTAATTTTGAATATCAGTTTTACATTGAGTGCACATATTCTAAACAGCATTATGCACTAAAAAATCACAATTAATAAAAGATTATTAAATGTAGATTTTGCTCATTTCTTAAAATGATCACAAGTTTAGAAGCATTTCAATTTTTGCAACATTTCATGTTGATTCTTCCTCATCCTCAGCTAATTTTGATGTTGCCGAATCCTGCTGTTCTTCACCTTGTTTACCCTCATCACTGGTTTCAGCCATATCCACATCACTCGCTTTTTCTTTTATCACTTTTTTCTTTTTTATAGACTCAGTATAGCTTGCAATGGAAAACTTTGTGGGACAGGCATCATTTTTTAAAGTTCTCCTGTTATGAACTCCCTTGATAACAAAACAATCTTCAGTAAAATGTTCAGAGCAAAGCACACTATATTTAGATGGCTCCCAGTTACCTCGCTTGATTTGGTATAACCATAACTTTAAGAGATGTTGATTATTCAAGGGAAACCTTAAAAATAAAATAAGAATAAACCTCTATTACAATTTACAAAATGCTAGAACATATATAATGCTTGCAATCTTCAGGGGAAGAATATAATTTGAGAATTATTATATACTTACCTTCATTTATCATTGCATTCAATAACAAATGCTCTTAAAGCAAAGTATAAAAAAAAAAAATAAACAAATTAAATCAAATTAATTTGATTTCATTCAGTTTTTTTAAGATACTTTTTTTTTTTCAAATTTCTTTTAAGATATTTATTAAGATATTTGTTTTATAATTATCTAAATCTTGTAAACATTATGATTAAAATATTAATAAAAATAAATCACAACAAAACCTTTGAAACTATATTACTGCATTAAAAATTGGTTTATAGTAATAAATAATACAGTAAAAAGCACAGTTCAAAATTTTGGAAATGAAATAGAAAACTGATTAACTACTGAAAAACAGGCTAAAATGCAGAAATTATAAAAAAATTAATTTTGAAAAATTAATCAGACAATAAGAAAGGGCAATCTGAATTTTCTTTAAAATTGATTGAAAATATTCACTTTAAGATTTGGTAATAGACTTTTAATATTAAAATTTTGTTTCGAAGATTTCATTTTAAAGCCAGAAACTGGTAGGGTTTCCATTACTATAACTGCACAATAACTAATTTTTATAGATGTATCAGTATATATATTTATAAATATGCCTTAAATTTTTATTTTGTTCTTCATTTGCATTTTGTAAAGTCTAAAAGAATTATAATAAATTTGAAATATTATTTAAAAATGGAGGAATTTACTTCATGCAATTTCGCCAATTAAAATTTATTAACAAATTAGAAATTTACAATAGATTTCAAAACTATAAAATCAATAGAAAATTTAAACAATCTCTATAAAAATAGTTTAAAAATTTTTATATTGATGATTTCTATTTTAAAAAAAATTTTCGATTTCAACCAATTCGATTTTCAGTTATTTATTTTTTAAATCTGTTGGTTTATTGGAATTCACAAACCCTTGTATGAAATAAAAGAATTACAGTGAAAGAACTAGTAAATTCTTCCCCCTGCTTTTTTTTTCTTTCAAAAAATAATAATGTATACAAAGTTGATAACCAAATAAAAGAACATTTTCTTTAGCTAACAAACAATTTTTTATGAAAAACTAATTTTACTTCAGCTGGCTTCAGTTGTAAATTATATTATTCAATTATCCAAGGGTGATTCTGAGCCCAACTCAAAAATCCTGAAAATTTCTCGACGAAAATCTTTAATAACGCATTTCAAGAAATTTATATCTTTATAAATTTAAATCATTGGTATTTCCTAAACATGAAATTCTAAAGAAATTATATGCAGTATAATTTAAATGAATAATTATTTATAAGTCTACTTTTATCTCTAATCACATTTATTATCCTACCAGAAAAAATATTTACGAATGAAAGAGATGAGATGCCAAGTATATATTCTAGTTCTAATATTTCAGAACAAAATATACAAGAACTTCTAGACATAAATGTGATTGATAATTTCTTGAAACTTCTGGATCTTGGATTTCTGCAAACTTCTGGATCGCGGTTTGTGAAAAACCTGGATTATACTTATTCTAAACAATGCACGGGTTTACGGAAATTTATCCTTTATTAAGAGAAAGAGGAAAAATAAAATAAGAGCATTCTTGTTACACCAAAGAATTACTCTAGACTAACATCCATTAATCAAAACAAAGTTAATTAAAATTATGAAATAATCACATTTCACATTTTTTTTTATTAATTCGACAATGGCTTGGAAAATGTATAATGATTTCAAAACTGGCCAGATAATTTTTAGCATTGCCAGATTCCCACATTTGCAGTCAACAAAAATAAATACATTATAAAAGAAAAAAATTCTATATCTTTGAAAAATTTATTTCATCATTTTATTCTTTAATTCGGAAAATAAAAAAAAATTTGCACTTATCAGAGTAGGGCCACTTTGATAGAGATACATCAATGTGTAGAAACCATATCAGAAAAAAGCACCGCAAATACCACCTCAATGGGAGCAAGCGTAGAACTTACAAAAATTTAGTTAATAGTCCGATTACCAGAAACGAAAAGATAATACTAGCGCATACACATTTTTACTGGTTCGTTTACATGTCCTTTTCCCCCTTTTTTTGGTTAAAAAGTTAATAAAGCGTAATTAAATGTAATAGAATACAATGAATGAAATATGCTATTTTGTGAAGAGAAAATAGACTAAAAGTTTGACTCAAAGATGTTGGTAAAAAAAAAATCAAAACATATAATCCCTTTGCATTCCCCAGGATGACCACTAATAAGTACATTTCAGTAGTCTGAGCCAAATTTTAGCGGTTTTCGTTATATTTCATTTATTCAATGCTTATTAAGAGCCCTGTTGACAATCGCTATTGTCTTTCGATCAGTCAAGTTTTTTCAGCATGAAAAGAACACTCACATAAAAAAAATAAATTTTTTTTGAACAATATTTTAATCCAAGAGCATTGAGTCAGCCTTTTGTACAGGCTGCTTCCATCTTATTAAATAACAAATAATTTTCTTACAACTCTTCTTGGATAAAAAAATTACCAACTTGATTGCCTGATCACATGGAAAAAAGGTGAGGTTTCAAAAGGGGTAAGTTCTCTTTAAAAAAAATTTCCAGGTTAAAAATTTATTTGGCGCATTAGCGACTGTAGTTGGCGCAACAAATCACGATACGGAAATATCCCCCTAGTGAAGTAAAGGGACATAAATATTTTTTTAATTACTACATTACGAAAGCTAACATTTATGCATAATTCCAGACATAGGCAATGAATATTAATTAAAAAGTGGCTGAAATTGTCTAAGATATTGATATGGAATATACTTGAATTAGCACACGAATTTTCATCCCAGACAATCAAATTGGTATTACATTTGCTCCTATACCATCTTAGCACAAATAAGGATCTGTTTAAATTCAGACAAATTAAATATTTCATTTGTTGCTTTTTTTCTTACCTGTGGAATGTTATATTAGTTCCTTTAGTATTCTTATTTTTGCATCCCACAGCACTGCAAGAGTTGACCATAGCTCCTTTAAGAAACAATAATCCGATTCCTAATATAAGAATACTGTAATATTATGTAAATAAAGAGAATATGAAACTTGTCTGGCGGTAAAAATGTCAAACAGCCGACGCCATTCCAGAACACCTGCTGCCAGATTTAAAGAGAGCCAAAAAGATTTCAGTTTTTTAAGGTTTAGTTAACTAAACGACCGTTTGCACTGTGTATAAAAATGCAAGGAAGCTATCCCCTCTACAGAGGATCAAAATTGTGATAGCATGTTTTCGGATCATCCTCAGGGATTTTTCCAACTCGTCGTCAATAGCCTATTGCGTAGCTCTAGAGAGACGTAAATAAAGTACATAACTAACTTATATAACCAGAAAAATATTTTGAAATGGCAAAAGTAAAAACACAATTTAACATTAATGCCAATCCGGCAATCAGTGATATGGAAAATATTTTACAGAACATTTCATGAATAGAATCGAGTTTATACAAAAAAATTTGGTTTAAAAAAAGTCCCGGAGAAAAATTAGTCAGGGCTTGGCATTATATCACATGTTTTTGCTATAATCAAGTTATCATAATTCTGAGCACCTTCCGAGTATTTTTCTTACAGTAAGAAAATTCAGCTTAAAAAATTCAGTTACAGTAAGAAAATTCAGCTTAAATAACAATTAAGATCTGTTAATCTGTTGATTGATTACCAGTCTAGAATTTACGCAATTTCGTTTTTTTTAGTTGTTGTAAAAAACGATAAAAATTGCGTATTTCTTTTAGTACATATTTCAAATCTATATGTGTCCCTCAGTGGACTGATCGTTAAAACACGGTTCCCAGCAGATCACCGAAGTCAAGCATCACTGGCTTCGGTCAGTGTGCTGGTGGGTGTCCACTTGGATCAGTCTGCGTAGGGACCGAGGGTGTGCGGCATTGGTCCTCGTTAAACTGTTCTACCGTAAAGTGCTCGACTTCGCGTGCAGGTCGTCGGGCTACCGAAGCAGTGGTGCCATCCCCTCTGCAGAGGATCAAAATTGTGATGGCATGTCTTCGGATCATCCTCAGGGATGTTTCCCAGACCGTCGCCAATAGCCTATTGTGCAGCTCTAGTGCGACGTAAGTGATTGTTGTTAATTTACGTTGCACTAGAGCTGCACAATGGGCTATTGGAGACGGTCTGGGAAACATCCCGGAGGATGATCCGAAGACATGCCATCACAATTTTGATCCATCTATGATACAATTTTGATCATTTTATGAACAATCTAATAGTTTTCAAATGACAACTGCCAGCAAGGAAACTTTCAAAAACTATATTTAATTGTGCTAACCTAAAATTGCATACTAAATATAAATAATTATTGAAAACGTGCAAGTTGAATGAAATTTGCTTTTGCCCTTATTTTTATTAAACAGATTTCACGTGATGCGACCAATAATTAAGAAATTTATTCTCCTTGATTTTACGTGCTTGTGCTCACCTGACATATAGAAAGTTGGGCGAATTGTAATTAAATATATATGTAATTTACTTTTCTAAATGAATAGAGCTATAAGATAGAAAATATCACTGTTACTATCTTCAAGATATTTGAAAACTGAATCGTTTATAGCAAAATGTAAAACAATGGCTAACTTTTAATCAATCAGAAAATTCCATTTCGATTTTCGCTGATACCGCTGGAATCGTTTGTCGCAGAATGTTCTAATGTCGACAGTGACCTTCCTCGTGCTTTGAACTATCTGTATGCCAAGTTTCATAGCTTTCTGTCGGATGGTTCATGAGTCTATAAAGGACAGACAAACAGACACACCTTCATTTATATATATATAGATATTATTTTTTAAGAAAAGAAACTTTTATCACGTGAGATATTGAGAGTTGAAAATCAAATTTGATGCATGTTAAAAGACTTTTGCACCTTCCTTTAATACTTAAAATTTTAAAATATCGCAATGATTCTTACAATTCAAACTAACATTGCATCTCAATTATTCAACTCAAACAACACTGTTAACTGATGCAAAAACGTTAACTAAATTACAGATATATATAAAATCAAATCCTTTCTTTATTAAAGTCATACTTCTATTAAATCAGAGTTAAAAGTGAGAAAGATGCATTATCCCTAAAAAAAATAGCCACATTTAAATATCAAGAAAATGGTCATAGTCCAATAGATATTGTGTTAAGAATCGCTTTGCATAAAAAAAAAAAAAGAAAAACGGTTCAGCTTGGGTGCGTATTGTGGGAGAAAAGCATAGCATTATGCCGGCTCTATGGAGAAAAAAGAAAAGTCAGACCACCATAGTGGCCTATAGTTCATGACGTCACAGCAACTGCGAGAATCAGTTCTTAGGCTTTCTTCTCCAGTGAGTGTTGCTAGATCCCCTAAATGTTACTAGTGATTTTTTTAAATGTCAATTCATAGGCCGGGATAGCCTGGGCGGTAGATCACTGGACCCATGTCCAAGAGTTCGTGGGTTCGATCTCCGCCGGCCGAAGACTCCCCGTGTAGTAAATGATGACTGTTGCACGTTAAAACTGTCGAGTCGCAAAGTCCTCCATGTTCTCATAACAAATCAATACCTCTGGGGGTACTGATCTAGAAGTTTCTCTGTCTTCTGGATTGGGCTCAAAATTACAAGGCCACGATGTTGAATATTAGTAGTCGTAAACCCGAAAATTGGGTCGGCTGTTCGAAGACGGATATAAAATAAAAATGTCAATTCATTGAGAGTTTACAAAAATTGAAAGAAATCTAAGCTCAAATTTACTAATACATCACAATTAACTTATATTATAGTATAAATCATTTGTAAGTAAACAACATGTAAATTTGTCTTATATTTTCGACCAGAGGAGCCCCTTGTGCCTAAGCTTCGGATTTCTAAATCAGACCCTACGCTTGAATTCCTATAAAAGTTTAAAAATAAATAAATAATAATAAATTACTTTTTCTTTTATTTATTGTTATTAAATAAAAATCAAGACAAAAAAGTTAAATATATAATCATCATCCTTTAAGTTATAGCCAAATAAACCTGCAGAATAAAGCTATTTTATATAAAATTTTCATAAATTTAATTAAAGATAATCATGATAAAGATACAGGATGTCAAAAAAATATGTTAATGGTCAAATATTGCTCGAGAAATATTCACGAGATCAAAAATTTTTAAATACTTTAAAAGATGAATTTATTGATGACAAAATTGACCTACAGTCTCAACTGTTACGTATGGGGCTGTGGCCACTTCAGAATCTATAATATGAATCCTTATTTTTTACTGTGGATTGACTTGGATTCTCCAGAAAAAGTATCCCTATTTCAGCTACGAGATTTGGCATTTTGTCACAGATGTACAAATTGTATAAAACAATTTCGGAAATACACGTAAGATCAAAAAAATAAATAATAAGAAATAAAAATACATAATATAATAAAAACAGAAGTGTTTGATATTTTGAAGAAAAAAAATTTATGGCAACAAACTCGACCCCAGTCTCTGAAGTTGTAATTCAATTTAGAGTACTTTTTTTTTGGAAAAACCAAATCTGCAATAAAAAAATGGGGTTTCAAATTATGATTTTGAAGTCGACCCCCTTCCATTTATTGGAAGTGATTTGAGGATCGGGATTTGTATAATTAAATGAATATTTTGAAATATTTAATAAGACCTTCAACCTTAAAAAAAATTATAACTTTAATATACTTACTATAACATAACGAAATCAATTCTAAACATTTAAAGAATTTTTTTAAATCTAAAAGTGATCAAAATAAATAATAGTTACAGGATTTATTAACAACAAATAAATGATTTATACAGATTAAATTATTTTACTCCAAATAAAAGGTAGAATTCTGTTATCAGTTTATGTTTAAAAATAAAAACGTGAACTAGGCTTTTAATTTTTTACTTAGCAATTTTCAGACACAAGGTCGGTAATTAGAGATAATTCTGAAGATTTGCAATTTTCTTCCAATACTTGGATCCAGGACTTCCTTTGTCTTACAGTTATTTGTCACATAGAGCTGCAGTTGAAATTTGAGTAAAGTTATTCGGAAAGTGATTGAAAACTTTGGTGAACTATGCTATCGTGCTCAAAATTTTAAATAGTGCTTGATGCTAATCCAATTTAATATTATTTTATAAATAATGACAGTAAAATTAATGGCGATATTATCACTACTTCATTTTATCGAAATTTCTACCTCTTTTAAGTAGGAAAACCACAGAAACTTACAAACATAAAAATAAATAAAAATTTTAAAAACTACTTTTTTAAAATGCTTCAAATTGAAAAACGAAATGTTTGACATTTTGTCAGAGAGGAAATGGAAAAAATAAAAGTATTTCCTACTTAGACTACTTGAAAAACGTATTTTTAATAAATTTCAATTTGTTGTTTTTAAATGTCTGAAACGTTTAAAAACCCACTATTAATTTTACCTGTGCGTTTTTGATAAGTTAAGGTCAGAGCAACTTTATGTTAGATTGCTTACTAATTAATTTTAATAAACGCTTCAAATTTAAAACAGAAGTTGATTATCAATAAAAAATTTAAATAATGATCCTGCTTGCTTCCATAATTTTAATTCATTTTGTTAACTGTGGAGTCAAAATATACAATTAAAAAAAATTCATTCACTTTATTAACAACAAAATATTAAACTCGCTTGTAAAACATAATTTTATAAAATTATTTATCACGTCGTCAGCCATATTTTGCGCTATCCTTTATGAGACAAAGGTTTAAATTTATTCAGCTGCCACTTTTGGCGAGACATGCCTGCTCTTGCCAAAAAAATTAAGGTTATGATGTCGGAATTAGAAAGGCGCGTCCCGGCCAAGATGGAACTGTCGAATTTTACGATTTCTGCTACATTATTAATTAAAATAAAAAGATGTTGGCTCATAAAACAAAACTCTTCGATTTCTCACAACTAAAAAAAAAAAAAATCCATACCTGTATTCTTAGAAAATAGGATGCTCTGAACACACATGAAAATCGGGACAAAAAATTTTTAACCAGGAAAATACGGGCAACTACGAATCCTGTAATAACGGTCAAAGTTCCATTTTGAGATACAGAGTTTTAATGTCAAATTAGTGTTTAGTGTCATATTTTGCAGCAAAAATGATACGAACTAGCTTCAGAATAAAATGAAAGTGATTTGCATAAATATAAAGGGGAGGATAACATAGGAGTGGTGCCGTTTTTAATACGAGAAGTTA